GGCCGGCCCCGTGAGGGTGGGCGAGGGAGGGCGGTCGGGTCGGGTCGCCCCCTCAGAGGCCGTCCGGGCGGCCCTCGACCCCCAGTTGCCTGAGGCGGCCTCTGACGGACTCTCGGCGGGAGACCCCCAGCCGGACACGAGGGGGCTGACAGCACCCGAGACTGACAGATGGGGGGCCCAGGGCGCCTTCCTGAGATGACAAACACCACTGAGAAGGAGGAGGAGGAGCAGGAAAGGAAGCGGCAGCAGGAGCTGCTGCGGCTCCCAGGGAGGGTCCCGCCCACCATCCTGCCCGTTTGCTCGCTCATCTCCGCCTCTTCTTCCTCTCCTCCTCCTCCTGCTTCTTCTCCCGCTTGCGAGCGCCGGCCAGGCATGGCGGAGGGGTCCCCGCTCTCCAGTAGCCTTGTGGAGCCCCCACGCAGCCAACAGATGAGGGCCAGGGCGGCCACTGCAGCAGCACGGCTTGCGGCCGAGGGAGACCCAGGTGGGGGAAGCGAAAGCAGGGACGGAAGGGAGCAGTGGTGGGATATAGAAGCCCAACAAACGGTTCTGCAGAACTGATACCACATTAGGTACTGGTTCTGCAGAACCGGTGCAAACTGTCTCAATCCCACCACTGATACAGGGGCCACCAAAATTGGTGTGGGTGTATGCAACCTATTTCCACACTAATATAGACAAAGGCAGAAATGTTGGATTAATAAGGTCTCAAGAGTAAAAACACCCATTCCCTTTATCACATGCCAGTGTGACTGAGAGACAGGCAAATTTAAAGAAATTAAAGAGGAAGAGGACAGGTAAGAGGAGCCCTACTAGATCAGAGAAAGGGGCTACTTAGCCTAGTGTCTTGTTTCCCTATAGCAGCCAGCCAGATTCTCCGTGTTTTGGGCTTCTGAACGCCCCCCCAAGTGCAAGCCGGCCGTGGGGTGCAAGGGGGGGCGGCGGCGGCGGCGGCGGCCGAGGCACCTGCCCCGGCTTCGGCTTTCCCCTCCTTCCCGTCGTGAGCTCGGCTTCCATCGCGGTGGGGAGAGGGACGAGGCTGGCGACTCGGAGGATGGAAGCGGGGGGCCCGGAGCTCTTTTTCACGCACCTCATCCGGGCAAGGAGCCGTGTGAATGGGACGCACGCGGGTTGCTCTCAGCCTTCTGGGGATGACTGAGGGGTTTTTTTGTTTTGTTTTGTTTTTTGCTGCATCTGTCCCCCTCTTGGGCCCCACTCTGTGGTCAGGATCTAAGGGAGTTGTTTTTGCAAAATCTCGTTTGTACTCCGTCTTGCCTCCCCCCCAGCCCCTTAGATGCATCCTCTTTTGGCTGATATTAATTCTCATTACAGGATGATCCTCCTCTTGACGAATTAGGGAGGTGAACAGGGGGTCATAGGAAGTGGCTTTGCTTGTTTTCAGCCCATATTTGAGCCTGCTTGTTGCCTTGGTTGCTTGTACGGACTGACAGAGTCCCAGCTTGGACACCGTGGGACTGGTGGGATTCAGACGGCCTTCGAGGCCTGACAAGCAAGCCTGAGAATAAGGTAGCTTTCAGATTCATGCAGGCAGGAAGGCTTCCTGTGGTGATGGATCTTCACACTGTAGTTGTCATGTTTGCAGAAGATATCGAAGTGAGAAATTCTCACAGTTCCGTTACAAAGCTGTAACATAGAAATGCTTTTGGTTGAAAGGCTTTTGGTTGAATGTCCATTGAGGGGGCGTCTACCCTGTAGATTTGATTTGCAGCCTGTGTTATGCTTGAAATTGGATTGATTCAGGAGTTCATCATATCTACTAGATGTGATGGGATTTGCAATTCAGTCCACAGTTCCCCTTCTTTCCTTCCTTACATAAGAACATAAGAAGAACCCTGCTGGAGCAGGCCAAGGTCTCATCTAGTCCAGCTTCCTGTATCTCAGAGTAGCCCCACCAGATGCCTCTGGGAGCACATGAGACAACTAGATACAGGGGAACCTCTACTTAAGAACTTAATCCGTTTTGGAATGGTGTTCTTAAGTTGAAACGTTCTTAAGTTGAAGCAAAATTTCCCATAGGAATGGACTGAAAACCAATTAATCCGTTCTGGCTGTTTTTTTTGTTATGTAGAGGTGTGTTCGTACATTGAAGCATTAGTTCCCATAGGAACTAATGCAAAGCTGGTTAATACGTACTCTACCACTAGGGGGAGAATTTTTTTTAACCTAAGATGACCTAAGGTTTAAAAAAGAGCAGGAAAGGTTTTTTTCCTGTTCTTATCTTGGATTTCTGTTCTCAAGTAGAAGCAAAATTTAGCAAATGGAGCTGTTCTTAAGTTGGATTGTTCTTAAGTAGAGACGTTCTTAAGTAGAGACCCCACTGTACATGTCTCCTGATATCCCTTCGCTGCATCTGGCATTTGGAGATACTTTCCTTCTAAGCCTGGAGATTGTACATCCCCATCATGGCTTGTAACCTGAGATGGACTTTTCCTCCAGAAATCTGTCCAATCCCCTTTTAAAGGCCTCTAGGCTAGATGCCATCACCACATCATGTGGCAAGGAGTTCCACAGACTAACAACACGCTGGGTAAAGAAAGATTTTCTTTTGTCTGTTCTCACTCTCCCAACACTCAATTTGAGTGGATGTCCGCTGCTTCTAGTATTGCGTGAGAGGGAAAAGAGCTTCCCTCTATCCACTTTATTTATCCCCTACATTATTTTATATGTCTCAATCATTTCCCCCTCAGGTGCCTTTGGGACTAAAGAGCCCCAAATGTTGTAGCCTTTCCTCATAAAGGAGGTGCCCTAGCCCAGCCATGATTTTAGTCACTCTCTTCTGCACCTTTTCCAGTTCCACTATGGCTTTTTTGAGGCGCGGCGATTAGAACTGTATGTAATACTCCGGGTGCAGCCTTACCAGCATTTTGTACAATGGCATTATAATGTTGGCTGTTTTATTTTCAATCCCCTTTTTAATGACACCAAGCACGGAATTGGCCTTCTTCACTGCTGCCATACACTGGATTGACACTTTCATCAAACTGTCCGCCAGCACAAGATCTCTTTCCTGATCGATCACTGACAGCTCAGAACCCTTTAACTGATAACTAAAGTTTTGATTTTTTTTTTTGCCCCAATGTGCATTACTTTACATTTTCTTATATTGAAAAGCATTTGCAATTTTCCACCCATTGGAGAGATCTTCCTGGTTTTCATCACCCGGAAAAGTTTCATGTCATCTGTAAACTTGGCCACCTCACTGTTTATCCCTGTCTCCAGATCATTTATGAAAACGTTGAAAAGCACTGGTCCCAGGACAGATCCGTGGGGCACACTGCTTTTCACCTCTCTCCATTGTGAAAATTGCCCATTGACACCTACTCTCTGTTTCCTGGTTCTCAGCCAATTCTCAATCCATAAGAGGACCTGCCCTCTTATCCCCTGACTGTAAAGTTTTCTCAGCAGCCTTTGGTGAGGGTCCTTGTCAAATGCCTTCTGAAAATCCAGATAGACAGTATCCACTGGTTCACCCGCATCCACATGCTTGTTGACCTTTTCTAAAAATTCTAAAAGGTTTTGAGGCAAGACTTACCCTTACAGAAGCCAGGCTGATTTCCCCCTTAGCAGGGCTTGTTCTTCTCTCAGCAAGGCTTGTTCCTTCCTCTGGTCCCGTCTCTGATGTTCCTTCCTTCTTCTGATCCTACCTCTGCTGATCTGATGGGGAATGGATGTGGACATAAATATGGGAAATAATAATACCGCTGACCTGGTTATAGAGGGATCTAGCATTAATCTCATATATGTAAGAAATTAAAATATTTTTTTTAAAAAATGAGGATTGATTGGGGGAGATGAATGAATGGACAGACATGTCCCCTTAGTCCTGAACACCACGCCCCAGCTATCTATGTCACTTAAACACCACCTATAGACATGCCCCCCTTCTTTAAAAGAACATATCACAACCAACCACATGAGAAAAAGCCTGTTCAAATACTTCTAGAAAGACCCCCCTCCAAGTGACAGGGGAAAAAAAGTTGCTTGGGGAGCAAAAAGGGGACCTATTCAAATCAGGCTTTGCATCATGTGGCCAGTAAAAAAATTTTTTTGAATTCACCTGTGTTATATATAAGTGGAGCAGATCTCACTGTATTTTACTGTGTAGGAACATCCTTAGTTGAGTTAACCAAGAGACAGTTCAGATACTCAGGCAGCATACATGGTACAGTTCAAAATGGCATGTACCCATGCATGATGATGTTTGCGGGAGTCCTGATGCTGTACCCAGCCAATAAGAAGACTGTGTTGTATTCGAAAACATATGTTTCAAAATTCTTTTGGTTGTACTGCATTAAGGACTAAATTGAAACTTAATTAAAAGTGGTGGAGAGTGGAAGTATGTAAATTAGTCATGTGAAGCTATGATTCAAACTACAGTATCCTCTTCAGCGAACAATACTTGCACTTTTTGTTTTACCTTTAAGTAAAAGGCCCTGATTTCAGATATGTATGTACTCCTGCTGCTGAGGTGGTGACTTTTAACTCTGCTTTTAATTTCCTTAATCCAGTTCCTCTCCCTTCAGCACTGATGTCTGTCCTGTGTCAGAGCGAAGCAGGGTCCGGAGGGGGGGTGGGAGGTGGATTTGGTTTTGAGAATGTGTGTCCTGGGAGAGATTTAAACACTCTTACAGTCAAATTTGATAACCCTCCCTCCTCACCTGTTTTCTTTAAAGCAAAAATCTGGGGATATCCAATTGTGATTCTCCCACGTAGAATGTACTTTGGCCGATTCCCAGGCTGCTTGTTTGTGTTTTTTACACCACCCACATTTTCCCAAGCATATCGAGCCATCCACTTCAAGTGCCCAATGCAGCACATCTCAATTTTTGCCTGTTCTTATGCTACTGTAGTTCCGGAATTTGGAAAACAGACAAGTGAGATTGTATGTGGTTTCTTGGACTTGCCATGCCAATCAGAGGGGCAATGTCTCAATGAATAATAGCTTGTTTTATGTCCAGATAAAATCCCCTGTTATCTTGTGGACATCCGTTTGAGGCTGGAAGTCGTGGATAACTGCTTTTCTGTCGTGCTACAGTAATCGTTCAGGAGCATCTCAGGATAATTATCTGGACGGTAGGCTTGCATGGATGCCAGCTTTACCATTTCCTTTGCTCACTGCATTGAACAAATTGCTACTAATTGTAGTCTTTTCCTAAGTTATGATTGTATGTGTGTGTTTTTTAAAAAAAAATCTGTGCATTTAAACCATTTGTGCATTTTGTGCACTCTGCTCTGAAGGGAGGGGTAACAAAATGTAAATTGATAGAGTCTATTAGGTATCTGTGTAACTTACCTTCCCCCTTTCTCCATAAGTGTTAAAACCTTCTTAGTTTCCAGAACAAGGTTTGGATTCAGGAGTTAAGACTTGAAAGAAGTTTCCGAATACAAAAAGAGATTTGGGGGGGGGGGGGGCCATGTCATGAGTTGCTAAGGGGGCTGTGATCCTTCCCTAGTGGTTGTTCCCTTATGTGGGTCACGGGAATGCCTTTGCAGTGCTAACAAGGGTTCTAGTGTTCCAGGTCCTTCATGAATGCATTAGCAGAGAGATGGAGAAATCCATGTCGCAGACAGCTTAGTGTCTTGTGCCAGGCCACTTGCTGTAAAGGGCCAAGGCAAGCAGAAAATGGCACCGTCTCAGTTGCTGATGAGGAACAGAAGCAAGTGCTGCACAATTAGCATTGCTGTGTTTTTAAAAGGGGATGGCTGGCTCCTTTGGGTTCTCTCTCTCCTCATACCTGTAACGGGGCTGAGACATTAAAGCTGCCACTGGATGGTATACTTTTATTTTTCCTGACACTGTTACTGACATGTAGATCTAGACTGTTGGTCAAATGAGTATTTTCAAAAAAATCTCTTTCCTCTTGGAAAGAAAAGAGCGGTGGCACTGGTTCTTCTTTGTGGCCTCTGTGAATCACACCCTGGGTGATCCGTGCCTGCGCGGAGCCTCATCGGAAAGTTGTCAAGGAGAACCTTTACCTTAACCTATCATTATGTGCCCGATTTCCTTTTAAAATGCATAGTGCTGCCTTAATTATTCTCCTGTGGCCTGTTTATTTTATTATTATTATTTTGGTTGCTGCTAAAACGTAGCTGTGACACGAGTAGATTCTTTATCTTGCCTAAAGGACCACAATCCTCATTGTCTGTGTTGAAAGCAGAGATATCGCATGAAAAGGTTCTTTGTAATGATAGTTGTGTTTTGTTGGTACATCCCCTTGTTCCTCTCTGTACATTGTTGTATTTTTAATGAGATCGGCATTGGACTACATTTTATCATTAGTATCTGCCCAACCTACCTTCACAAACACTCTGCACCCCTGAGAATAACCATGAATACGAAAATCACCTCTGCACAGAAAAAAAACCCTCTTCTAAAAAAGCACTTCCTGTTTCCCTGTCTTATTCTTAGCATCTCTTCCCTCCCTCTATAACTTTCCCGATCTTCATATTTCCCTCTTTTTTATTTTGATAGTAAGAAACAAATCTCAGTCAGCAATTCTTACCCTCCGTTTGTCTCTTGAAGTAGACTTTTTAAAAGAAACATGCATAAGAATAATCTGACAATAGCCTTGGCTTCGTGTTACACTCATGGTGTTAGTGTACAGGATCATTCCGTGGGTTCTCTGAAATGTATTATTATGTTTATAGGGAGGTATGGTCATCCTGTATGACCATGAAAAAGTTTAGCCTAATGAGAAGAAAAGCAGTGTATTTCAAGTGTAAAACATAAGCGAATTTCAAGATACATTTTTTTTATCCCTTCGTATAAATTAAGTCTAAGCACTGTGTTTTTTCCCTTCCTCTTCCCCCACACACAGTGGCATCAGCATGACAGTTTCAAAAATACCCCCGTTTCTTACTCATTGTTTTTGTCATTCAGAGGATGGCAGGTGCAGCTGGGATTTAATTGATGTCTCCAAGACCGCAAAAGATCACAAAGACAGATTGGGCCGTGAGAAGCTATGAGGAGGTCCTGGCAGCCCTGATGCTATATGTTATATATTCTAGCTTTCATGTTTTATTAGGAATCGTTTAAAACAGGGCTGAGTTTTACAGACAATGACGGATGTCCTTCACAGTGGCTCAGCTGCTTCTCCCTGCCCAAGTTACTTAGACTTGAAAGAGTCTCTTACTGCCAACCCCACCCTTGTCGACTTTTCACAGGAAACATAACTTGAACCGTGGCCAGTGCCACTTTATGACCTCATAGTACTACATGTGCGAGGCTTGTTACAGAAGCCCCGTCATGAGAAAATAAATGATGGAGGGTTTGGCAGATGAATACCATCTAACTAGCATTCCCTAAAAATATGTGGCAAGTTGTTCATTCGCTTCAAGCCGTGTTTCATTTCTTGTAAAATTTATAATGTAATTCTTGTTGTTATTTGTTGTCATTTTGTGTGACTTGTGCTCCTTAGGAGAGCGTGGTTCGCTTGAATACATCTGCCTTCTGCTTTCTGTTCAGCCTTGTTCTTCCCTTTATCAACATTTTCAAAGAGTGTAACTATTATTTTTTGAAACCCTCTTGTACTTGAGCTTTTGTGGAAGCAGTAGTGCACAAAGAAGCACACCGTACTTGTCGAAAGGTTCTTGAGACGTCTTCGCCAGTCACGAATGTGGTGCGGAAATTGAAACAGACGATTCACTCAAACCATTAACAGATGTAGTCATTTTTAACAGAGGAGTATCAATAACAACTTCTGTAGGATAAACTTGACCCCAATCGTACAACTGTTCTCTGAACTTCATAGAACTACTATAACTGAGAGACTCTTCCCATCCTGCTTATAACTTTTTTGAACTGTTACCGTCTGGCAGAAGATATAGAACAATTAAGACTCGGACCACACGTTTTCTAAATAGTTTTTATCCTAGAGCTATAATTGCAATTAATAATGAGCTTAAAGACCACCAGTAGTGAATAATTAGTCGAACTGTGTTACTTGGCCTGAGGTGTAGATGTTTGTATTTTTAGTGGGGGACTTCTAGTGGGTGGGGAGTGTTTGGGGAATGTTATGTGTGTGCATGTGTCTGGTCTCTGGGTGTCTGTGAATTTCGTTGTATGGTATACTGTGTAGATACTTACAATGACAATAAATTATATTATTATTATTATATTATTATTATTATATTATTATTATTATATTATTATTATTATATTATTATTATTATATTATTATTATTATATTATTATTATTATATTATTATTATTATATTATTATTATTATATTATTATTATTATATTATTATTATTATATTATTATTATTATATTATTATTATTATATTATTATTATTATATTATTATTATTATATTATTATTATTATATTATTATTATTATATTATTATTATTATATTATTATTATTATATTATTATTATTATATTATTATTATTATATTATTATTATTATATTATTATTATTATAACTACCGTCCTTTCTTAATACAGTACTGGGGAGCCGGGCCAAAGCATTCCTTGTCCATTGGCTTCCTCAGTGGAGCGCTCCTCACCACACATATGGTGCCACAGCATGGGTGGCGAGCCCAATCCTCCTCTGGAGGTGGTTTGTTGTAGGTGGGATCTGGGCGCACCACCCTCTTTGAGTGAACTCGTCCCCTTGGGAAGACCACCACTGTCCATTCTGAAGTCTCCTTTATGGTCACTCCCTCTTTTTCCCTCTGATACTGGGTCTGGCAGCAAACCTCCCACCTTCAAATTGGGAAATCCTTTCAGTAGCTCACTCACATGATCACATTTCTTTTCCTCCCTCTCTTGCTTGTCGAAATCCAAAAATCCTGCGCGCCTGTTCCTACTTTTATATCCTCCTCCCACACGTCAATCATTTGCTCCTCCTCCTTTCCCCGTCCCTTCTTCTGTCAGACAAACCTCCATTTTAACTCTTTCCTCACCATCCCTCAGCTTTAACACATCCCTCTCCCTTTCCTTGACCACCACGTCCTTGCTATCTGGAGGAGACGGCGCACTCTCGTCCACCTTGCCTTCACAGTGCCTCAGATAATTTAGCTGTGCCATTGACAATTTCCTTATTCCAAATACATTTTGTATAAATCATGCAATTTGCAGGTTCATTGTATGGACTGCACTTGCAAAATTGTATTATTATTAT